AGCAACGAAAAGAGACGTGAATATAAAATAAATGAAATAAACAGGTTTGCATACGAAATTAATACAATCAGCAGGAACCACGCCCATATTGTCGCGACGCTTTAAAATTTAGGAAAGAACTGCACCAAAACTACAGTAGAGGATTCCAGCGAAAACCGCAGCATATCTAAAGTCACACGCATACTGAGCTCTGAACAAGATTTGGGCACTTCCTCCAGCCGTAAATCAGTAATAAATGCAAGAGCCGTACAGTAGGTGATACTTCGCCTTGACGTACGGCGCTTTGTCTGTGCTGCTGCCGCCGTGCCTCAGACCTCCAGCCAACTGGGCGACGTGGTGCTGCTGTAGTTGTTTCTGCTGCTTCTCCTCCTGCTGCTGCTGCTCCTGTTGCTTCCCCATGAGCGCGCGGTCGTGGTGCTGTTGGTCTTCCTGCTGCTGTTGCTCTTGCTGCTTTTGCTGCTATTTGCTGCTGATATATATTTGCTGCTGTACGCGCTGGCGCTTGTCCTGCTGCTGCAGCTGCTGCTGCTGCTGCGCCAAGCCAGCTGAGAGGGCCTCTGCAGCAAGTGCCGGGGGCGCAGGGGCCTCAATTTTGTATGGGAATGAGGCCTGTCCCTTTAAAAAGAACGGATGCGGGATGTAAGGGCACCCGTCGCTGCTGCTGCTGCTGCTGCTGCTCTGCTGCACGCACTCTGCGCTTCANACGCCTGAAGGCGCAGCAGCAGTACAAGCAGCAGCAGCACAAGCAGCAGCAGCAGTAGCAACAGCAACAGCAACAACAACAGGTGGATTCCAAACTGCTATGGTGTTAAAAACCATAGGAAAGGAGAAAGGTGTCGTTCGTTTTGGAAACTCTCCTTGCTGCACAAGCATCACACGGTGTTTGCGTTCGTCTTCGTTCTTGCTTGAGAGCTCACCAGCCTCAGTGCAAGCTTTGCATGATCAATTCGCTGCTCTACATGCCCTTCTCATCCGCTGCGCGTTGCACTACGTTCTGTATGCATTTGTTCATGCACGCATATATGTTTATGTGACTGCATGCGGTTGCGTCAAGGCGAAATCTGCCCGATTGGTCGGTTTGTGTAGGAAGCGCAAAGAAAAAAGGGAAATCATCTAGTTCGCAACAACAGCGGCGCGCAGCAACTGCTTCTCACCAAGCCTAATCAAATCAGTTGGAAGCAGTCTCTGCATGGCATTCAGAAGGTGCAAACAACGCATTGTCTCTGTGGCTGTACGCCAACCACTTAACCCACTAGAGCGCAGACGGCATCCCAGAGCCCCAGCCAGCATTGCATCGCAGTTTGTCTTGGAGATGATCGTCAAGTTACTTGTCGAATTCCGGCTAGTCGTGCAGCCCTTACCCGCCCACCAAGCATATGAAACAGTAAAGCAAGGGACATTTTCAAGGCAACTGCATGGCATTCTCAANCGCCCACCAAGCATATGAAACAGTAAAGCAAGGGACATTTTCAAGGCAACTGCATGGCATTCTCAAGCTAATCAAATGCCTCGTCATCAAATAGGCGCACACCATGGGCACATTTACATGGCGTGCCCCTATTCGGCGCTGCCCATAAAATTAGGAAAGACGAGGCTTTGGGAGACCTCAAGAGTGAGGCTTTTGGAGACCTCAAGAGTGCAAAGCTACGAATCCCCAGCGTCGTGAAATGTTCGCCCAGCAAGCGGAGACAGATGATGCTTTTGAGACCGTAGGGGCAGCAGCATTGGCTAGAGTGCGTGAAAGTGGACAAGTCCTAACCAATGGTCACACAAATTGTCAAGAAAAACATAACAGAAGGAGAACCTTGTAAGAGCGAGGGGGAGGATTCTCCCCTTGCTGGGAGATCAAGGGCAGTTTTCCTAAGGCAAGTGGACCCGTGACGGAAGTGCTGCTTGTTCTGTCTCCCACCCACGAACTACAGTTGACTGCCTCAACGCAGTGCCAAATCAAGTCCGCTCGCCGCTACCGGATATCTGTATATGGTTTTCCCTCTCCTTGGTGTACAGTGTATAAACAGGTTGTTGGTTTCATTCCCTCCTGAGGCAACTGATGATCTGCTCCGAATCAGACACCCTGCTGCTGTGCAGAGACGCTCTCGCCGCAACAGCATAACCAGCAAAGGGAAGCAGCCTTGTGCAGCTTCTGAACTGCTCCAGGAGGTTGCTTGATCCTCGTTGATTCTACCGTCTGAGAGTATGAGAGCCAGACGCAAGGTGTTGCTGCTGTTGTTGCTACTTCATTGGTTAATCCCATGCATCTCCAGCAGTTGCAGCTCTGTTGCACCAGCCGGCTGTCGCCTTGACGAATTGGTTACAGCTGACTGTGCATCAATTCAAGTGAACATGAAATAAATGAAATAAACAGATATGAATAGAGGACAAATGGAATCAGTATACTTCAGGAGTCATAGCAGACTCTACTGCGTTTCAAGGTAGGAAACATACTAGGCTCCTAGCAAGCTGTGACCACTTGCATCTGCGGATGGGCTAGTGAGTAATGTAAGAAACGTAGTAGCTGCTACTTCTCTGCGGCTGCTGTAGTAGCAACCACAGCATCAGCAGACAGGCAGCTACGTTTCAGCCGCGTCCAACAGCGGCAGCACCATCAATATGCAGATAAAGAAGTGGGCTAACTGCGGCAGCTGCTGAGCGCATACATAACAGCAGAGGCATCAACGAAAACAACAACAGCGACAACAGCATCACGCGACTGTCGCACCGCTGCAGCGTTTCGAGATCACAGACGACGAGAACAATGCTATACCTTTGGAAAACTCTCACTGTTGCAAAACAATACCTGGTGTTTGTTATCTTTCTTGTTTTTGATTCAGCATTCGCGAGTCTGAGTAGAAGCCTTGTGTGTGCAAGTCGCTCTTCCAGATGCCTTTTGCGTCAATTGCACGTTGCTATCCTCGGAGCGTGCATTAGANGTCGCTCTTCCAGATGCCTTTTGCGTCAATTGCACGTTGCTATCCTCGGAGCGTGCATTAGATAATTCACCTATATATGCTTTTATAGCTGGTTGGCGTTTTGTTCAGACAAACCCTACCCGATTGTTATGTTCATGTATGCAACACAACAGGCAAATTGTGCATCATTTACCTCGCACACCAGCGGTGCGTATCAGCTGCTTGTGATAAACCAAGCTCATCAAGCACAAGCAAATCAATCAGAAAGCAGTATCTGCATGACATTCTTACGATGCCATTAATGCATTGTCTATCTGGCTGTACACCGACCGCTTAACCAACCACTTTGCCCACAAACGGCATCCCAGAACCCCAGCAAGCTTCGCCAACTTGACCTTACTAGCCCAGCAAGCATATGGAACGCAAGGAATATTTTCATGACAACTGCATGGCATTCTTAAGCTACTCAAATGCCTCGTCATCGAATCGGCGCACACCTGTGCATGAGATGAATGAGCACACTGGCACCACCATTAGTTTACCGAGTCGTGGACGGATTTGCTTGAGCTTTGGCAGTGATAGCGGCATTGGGTAGAGTGTTAGTGGACAAGTCCGGACAAGTCTGAACCATT